AATCCCTTCTCCTCCATTCTCCTCTCGGGATCTTGGGCACGCACGCACACGTGCCCGGCGTGAGTTTTAAGCCACCGGGTTCGGGACGTGAACTGCAGTCGTCTACGTGGGAGTCCAGCGACATAGCCATTACGCTAACTGCTGGTTCCCAATAAAGTCAAGTATTGATGTGCTTCTGAAACAAGGTCATTTTTAGATAGATGTACTACTCCTAGTTTTGTAATAAAAGTCATATGTCACTTTTTAGCTGTGTGACCTTGGGCAAGTTATTTAACCTCTGCATACTCAGTTCCACCATCTGCAAAATGGGGGTAATAAAATTCCTTGAGGTAGGTATATATGAGGATTGAATAGGTTACCATTTGTAAAACTCTTAGAATACTGCCCAGCATACATTAAATGCTACATGCATTTAAGCTAAAAAAACGTTGGTTTTCAAAGAAGTTTCCAGATTTATCCCCCAGCTTCCCAATTGTCAAAGGAACCACTCAGCAAACTGTAACGAAGGTTATCAATTGGCTATTCCAAACACCATTTAGGCATGGGCCCTTCACACCCCCAGCCTGTCCCAGGATACAGCTCGGTGACAATGACCAGCCCCCGGCGCCTCTCGAAGGCCTCATGGAAGTAGAGGATGCAGTCGTGCTGGAGTCGAGCCAGCAGCCGGGCCTCCCGCCATGCCGATGCCTTTGGCTTGGCCTGGCTGGGGATGAACTTGGCTGCAAACTCCAGGCCAGAGCTACGTTCCACCACACGCCGCAGGTAGGAGAAGGCACCCCTGGGTGACACAGGGAGGAGGTGGGGCTCAGCTATTACTGCAGCTCTGGCTCTCCTTCCTGGCCCTCAGACGCAGTGGCCGCTCTTGGCCGCCTAACGCTGGTTCCCCCCTTGAGGATGCCGTCTCACACCTGCCAATCTCCTGGTGGATGTCATAAAAGTCGCTGAGTCTCCTTCCTCGATGCTCCTCACCTTCCCCGACCCCTTCAACCTCCATAGCTGTCTGAGCTGGGAAAGAGATGCCCTGGTGTCAGGTGGGGAGGGCGAGAAAAGAGGAGGGCAGACACTGGACAGGTGGGGCAGATGCAGAAAGAAGAGCGAGGACACTGGGGCCTGAGGCAGGGGTGGTGGGGCTGGAGGATGTGGGGACCAAGGGTGAAGGAGCAGGCATTTCCTGAGCAGGGTGGGGCTCACGTCTGCCTAGGGGTGGGCGCTTGGCCCTCCTCCCTGTGGACTCGAGCCCACCTGAGCGGACAGCCAACTCTGCTTTGCAGGAGACTTCGCCTGCTAGGTTCCGGGCAGTGCAGGTGTAGACACCTCCATCCTGGACCCCTGTGCTGAGCACCACCAGGGAGCACTCATTCTCCTCATACACGAAGCTCACATGACTGCTCTCGGCCAGCAGTACCTCGTTCTGCAAAGGAGGGCATCGTCTCCAGCCAGGCCTGGGCCACCTTTACCTGGGACCCAGCTGCATGCTATCTCAGGGCCAGGAGCTTCTCTATCAGGCCCTCGCTTGCAACTCCACCCCAGCTTTGCTACCTTCAACCTAGAATCAGCTCCTCCTTACCGCCCACTAATAGCCCTGCAGTCCTCGGGTGGTCCCCTAGACCCCACTTCCTCCTCCCAGCCACACTTCTGCTGCCCAGCACCCCTCCTCCCGCCCCCAGGCTCCACCCCAGACCCAGGTGAGGAACCCACTGTAGCCTCCATTGCCCTCTGACCTTGTACCACATGATGTCTGGCAGTGGTTTCCCCTCAACCACCACAGCAAAGCGAGCGGTTTCCCCAGCCCCCACCTCCACATCCTCCATGATGGACTCAAACCGAGGGGCCTCTGGAACACACAGAAATATGAGTGCGGAGGGGGTGGGTAGCTGGAGGCCGGCTTCCTCAGCTCCTTTTCACACCCCCCATCAGCAACCAGCTCAGTCAGAAAGCCAGGCTCCCCCCTCCCTGCACCCACCCCCACACTGGGGCTCCCAAACTCAGGCCCACAGGACACCAGAGTTCCCTGCCTGGACCAAGCGCCCTCCCTGTAAACCCAAACGTGATGTTCTCTACGTCTCAGAAATACTGTCACAAGGTGCAGGCTTCCTTTGTCTGATGCTCAGTGTTCATTTGCCAGCTTTGAAGTTAGGAGATTTTCACACACAAAAGAAATCAGCTTTCCTGTCTTTCTTGAAAAATCAGGACTGGCCACCCTGAGCCGCTTCTCTCCCTGCATTAAGTGGGTGTCGAGGTGCGGCTCAACGCTGCCCCCTGTAGGCGACCAGGCTTCCTCACAGTCCCCGTCCCAGTTTCTCTGACTACTAGTACTCAGTGCCCGAAGGGGGATCAGTCTGTGACCCCGAAACAAGCTCATGGCCTCTATCTTGAAGTTTTTCTCACTGGACCTTAGGAAGCCTTTTGCCATGTAGGGGACAGCAGGATTAATAAAGAATAACCCCAAATATTAATAGTCCAGAAATTCTCGGCCTTGCTCTTCTACACAATGCTGTGATTTTTTCTTTCTTTTCCAAGAATTATTTTATATTTTATTTATTTATTTATTACTATTTAATTTTGACCAGAAAGGGACAGAGTGAGAGAGAGCAAGAGAGATGGAAAGTGAGAAAGCAAGCCACCAGGTCTGGGACTTGAACCATGGTCGGCCATGTGGGAGTCCAGCCCCCTTAACCACCACACCACCTGCCAGCCCCCTCTTTCTTTTTCTTTTCTTTCTTTCTTTCTTTTTTTTTTTTGAGAGAGATTTTTTTCTATAGGATGTGTACAGTCGAGAGAGAGAGACAGAGAGACAGTGAGAAATCACCTCCCAGGGAGGATGGCCGTGCTGCAATCCCTTCTCCTCCACTTTCCTCCTGGGATCTTGGGCATGCACGCACACGTGCCTGGTGGAATTTTAAAGCCATCAGGTCCAGGACTCAAACCGCGGTCAGCCATGTGGGAGTCCAGTGACATAACCATTACACCATCAGCTGGTCCCTGCGATTGCTTTCTCTACACATATCATGTGGTTGTTTTAGACACCTGGTAAAGCGGCTTCTAATTCTCATGATGGAATTGAGCACATGTCGCCAGGTGTTTTGCAAAGAGGCCTGTGCAACTTCCATACGGCCGTCTTCCTGAGCAGGTTTGAGGATCTTGGCTTGAAGGGGAGTGGGGAAGACCAGGCACTTAGAGAAGAGCTGGGTCACTAGGTACTGACCACCCCCATCCCAGGCATAGCTCACTTGACACAGGCCACAGAGGAGACCGTCCTGGGAGTGAGGAGGATGGGAGCCACCATTCCACTTGCCCAGTCTGGGTGGTGGTGGGGTGGGGCCTAGTAGCACGGAAGTGTCCATTAGCCCTGGTTGCCTGGGACCCAGTCTCTCTTAGCCACTGTCCCAGCTAGGCTAGGCTGCCGGGCTCTTGAGGTCAGGGCCTCCCAAGCCCAGGACTCCTTCATCTGGGAAGAAAGATGAGTGTTGTGGATGGCACCTGCCAAGGAGCAAAGTGGTGACTGAGTGGCAAGGAGGAAGCCATGTAAAAAGGGGACTGGGGCCCTGCCGACCTGTGCCCACCCCCCCCGCACTGCCCTGTCAGCAGGGTTCCCCTTTCTTTCTCACACATCCTACTGCCACGTCTCTTCTACTGAAAAGATGCCTTTCCTGCCCTCTAGGGATCTGGTTCCCAGACCGTTGGGAGTGGGGGTTGCTAGTGATAAAGGTCAAAGCACCGGAAGGTTTCATGTGAACATCAATGGTTTTTTAAAGCACCAGAAAATGTCCATTTTCCCATGATAAGATTGCCTGTGCTAACTAAAATGTCACTTTCTTGGCTTTTCGTTGGAATTGTACCTACTCAGCAGGTACACTGTTGAGCTGATGTTGATCTAAAGTTCTGAGTGGCAGTTACACGTGTCTAGAGTTAATTAGCAAACTGGAAAACAAAATAATTATTCCTTAATAGCTATCATTTAAGAGGCTACATGTTAAAAGGAGAAATTTTAAAACAAGTCCTTCTGCAAAGGTTGGGAGGCTCTGTCAAACAGGCGTGTGCAAAAGGCCAGCTTAAGATCCTCAGAGCTGGGAGTGTGATGAAAAGATATGCTCACTGGCTTATTTTTATTAAAAAAAAAAATTAAGGGGACCTACAGATGGCATAATGGTTGTGTCACTGGACTTCCCAGTAGTCGACTGAGGTTCAAGTCCTGAAGTAGGAGGCTCGAAATGTACACCAGGTGAGTGTGCATGTGTGCCCAAAATCCCAAGAGGAGAATGGAGAAGGGACTGAGGTTTGTCCACGCCCCCTGGGGGGGATTTCTCACTTTTTGTTTGTCTCTGTCAGTGTCTCTGGTGAGCACACACGCCCTATAGCAGAAATCTCTCTCTCAAAAAAAATTTTTTAATGGTTTTGGAACCAGCAGATGGCATAATGGTTACGTTGCTGGACTCCCATATGGCTGATTGTGGTTTGAGAAGACCAGGAAGCTTGAAACGCATGCTGGACGGATGTGCATGCATGCCCAAAATCCAAGAGGAAAATGGAGGAGAAAGGATTGCAGTGTGGCCATCCACCCTGGAGAGTGATTTTTCTCACTTTCTCTCTCTGTCTGTCTGGCAAACACATGCACCCTATAGAAAAAAAAAATTAAGGGTTTTGCTATAGGGCCATATGGTCATCAGAGACACAGAGAGGGAAAGTAAGAACTCACTCCCCAGGGTGGAATGGCCACACCACAATCCCTTCTCCTCTATTCTCCTCTTAGAATTTTGGGCATGCACACCTGTGCCCAGAGTGATTTTCAAGCCTCCAGGTCCAGGACTCAAACTGCTGTCAGCCATGTGGGAGTCCAGCACCATAACCACCATGCCACCTGCTGGCCCCAGTGCTTATGGACTTTTCAAAATAATCAACATGGGGACCAGCCATGTGGTGTGGTGGTTAAGGCAGCTGGGCCCCATCTGACCAAAGACATGGTCTGGGTCCCAGACCCAAAGGCCTGAAAAATACACCTGGTACATGTATGCGCATGTCCAAAATCCCAAGAGGAAATGGAGGAGAGGGGATTGTAGCTTGGCCATTCCCCCTGGGGAGGGAGGTGCTTTCTCACTTTCTCTGTCTCTCTGGCGAATGCGTGGTCTCTATGCTAAATGTAAGAAAACAACAGGGTCTTCCTCTGCTTGTTACAGTTGAGGTACTATTTCCTGTTGCGTTTAACCCAGGAGCTAGGAACACTCACTGACTTTAGAGCCAGGCATCCAAACTTGAACCAGCTCCTGTCCTTCCTCGGTTGTATGATCTTAGGAAAGTTACTTAGAACACTCTTTGAGCCTCAGTTTCCTCATGTGTAAAATGGGGGGTTAAAAGCTGACTCCATCTGAGAAGGCTGATGTAAGTATTGAAGGGGGTGATATGTGTAAAATGCTTAGTTCTCAGCCTGGCACATATGAGGGGCTTGACGAACAGCCTTGTTAGTACGACTACTGTTGTTATTCGTTGTCCTGGTATTACTATAAGCCCTTAGGTGGATAGGCCTGAGCGGAAGGACACAGACTGGACTCCCGGCAGTGGTGGGGGTGGTATGTGCACCTGGGGGGGGTGAGGCAAGAACAATGGGCCCTGGAGGAAAGAAAGGGAAGAAGGTTGCTGTCACCCACCTGCCAGCTCCAGGGTGACTGAGCAGGCCTGGGTACCATGGCGGTTGCGGGCAGTGCAGGTGAGGGGCCCCACATCCCGGCGGCTCACCCGGCAGATCCGCAGACAGTACTGGTCGTCATCTGGCTGGCTCAGCTCATACACACCTGCCCGTGCCTCTAGGAGGGCCCCTCGGCAGCTAGGGGACACATGACAGGGAGGTCGCCCAGGATCCTGCCACAGGGATGTCTAGCGGGCTGGGCAGGAGATAGGATGAGGGGGAGGCCCACCTTCTCCAGACGACCTGGGCTTCCACATGGTTGAAGGTGACAGTGACACTGGCAGGTTGTCCCTCTACCACATACACCATGTCCGGCTTGTCCAGCACAGCAGGGGCCTCCTCCAGGGGAGGACCTGGGAGGAGAGTGCGGGCTTGATGCTGGGTCCTTGGCACCCACTACTCCTTTAATACCCCCAATAGGGACCAGAAGTTGGCATAATGGCTATGTTGCTGGACTCCCATGTAGTCAACTTTGGTTCGAGTCCTGGACCCAGTGGCTTAAACTCATGCCGGGTGCGTGTGCGTGTGTGCCCAAGATCCCAAGAGGAGAATGGAGGAGGAGAGACTGCAGTGTGGCCATCCCCCCTGGGGGGTGATTTCTTGCTTTCTGTCTCTCTCTCTCTCTGTCTTTCTGGTAAGCATACCCTATAGCAAAAACTTCTCTAAAAAAATAATAACTAAAAATAAATAATTAATATCCCCAGTAGCCATTCAAGCTCCATTTTTACAGATGACGAAGCAGAACCTCAGAAAGGCTTAGTAATTTGGCCAAGGAACACAGCCAGGAAGTGGCAGAGCTGGGGCTGGACCCTGGCATGTCTGACTCCAAAGCCCCAGCCCTGTTTCCTGCAACTGCTGCTTTCAGTGAGAAGGGTGCACACTGTGGGTGAGGGTCCCACCCAGCCATGCTGCTCCCACCACAGGCACCGTGTCCAGACCAGCCCTGGGGCCTCCAGTATAGGGCCTACTCCCCATCCCAGAGTATCCAGGCTCACCATGCTCCAGCAGCTGCACAGGCTCCGAGGGGGGCGAGGGCTTGCTGCTGCTCTTCACGGTGGTGCTGAGGACCCGGAAGATGTGCTGGAGCCCCTTCCGCAGCCCTGTGGCAGCCCAGCCTGGCTCCCGCAGGCCTGTGGCGTGCCTAGCGCCGTCCACTGGTCTGAGCCCAGCACCTGGTGCTGCACCGTGTACGTCAGGGAGTCTGGGTCTGCAGCGGGAGGAGCTGCTAGTGGCCGATATTGTGGGCAGCAAGTCCCCCGGTCCAGCTGGCTTGGAACCCAGAACTCTTCATTGGCCTGCTCCAAAGACCTGCCTCGGTTTCTCCGGTTGCTTTCTGCCAGCCTCCCATCTACTCCTGCTCTATTCCTGCCCAGGCCAGGCTTAGCGCCAACAAGGCACCCGTTTCAGGGAAGAAGGGAGTTGGCCTTGGGTCCTAATTTCTTTCTACCTGAGGTAGGGAAACTGAGGCATGGCATGGGAAGAGCAATCTCAGGATCAGGACCCAGGCACCTGACTGCTCTGAGAGAGGGAAGGAAAGGTGGAGGCGGCCCGAAGGCCCTATCCACCTGGGAGGGAGATCCAGAAAGCTGCTCTCAAACATGCCCCCGTACTCCATCCACTTCTGCCCTCTGCTGTCCCTGCTTGAGCTGCTCTGCCCATGCCCCGCGTGGTCCTGACCCACCGATAGCCATGTCCAGACTCCTGGGGGGGTTCCATGAGAGCGTGATCATCCTCCCAGTCACAGCCACCACCTGCGGGGCGCCATCGGGGGGGCCTGGAACCACATCTGAAAGCCACAGGTCGGAGTCTGCAGGGTCCTCTAGGGCCCAACAGTTCCACAGGATTGTCAAGGTTCAGGGCAGTAGGTTCAGGGCAGGGCCCAGCCAGAGGGGCAGGGGCGAGGCCCGATGGCATCCAGGGGAAGGAAGCCTGTGGAGGCTCTCACTCAGTGCCCTGAGTGGGGCGGGGGGCCAGGCTGTGGCACAGCTGACCGGGAGGATGATGCCTCACCTGAGACATACAGGTGTGCGTAGCAGGCAGCTTTGCCCAGCTTGTTGGCGATGACGCTCTTGTAGACCCCGGCGTGCTGAGGTCCCACGGCAGGAAACACCAAGCGATGGACATCCCTGTCTGGTGGGGGGGGGGGCAGGGACACCGGGGCTAAGCTAGGAGGATACTTTGGAGGGGTGTGCCCATGCCAGCCAGGCCTGACCCCTCATTCTACCCACTGCAGGGTACAGGCAAGGGGGAAACGGTGGGGCCTGCAGGAAGAAGAAAGTCTAACCTGCAGGAAGAAGCTCTGGGCCTAGGCCCTGCCCCATCCCTCCTTCCTGGTCCTCTAGCACTTACCATCTTCCTCCCACACGGGTCACCCTCTGAGATCTGTAACTGTGCTGCCACAGCCTCATGATGGCCTTCTGATAAGGCGGTTCCCCAGCCCTGCCCCCATTCCCTCTCTGGTCCCACAGCCATCTCTAGCAGAGCCCTAGGACAGCTCTCCCTGAGGGCAGCCAAAGCCCTCTGTCTGTACTCCTTTTGAGCCATGTCCCCTCCTCTTCCTGCAGTCTTGACCTTGACAAACTGCCAGGCCCCTCAACAAGACACTAGACTCCCACCTCCAGGTCTTTGTTCACAGAGCTCTTTCCTGTTGGAACATTCTCCTTTCACCCAAGGCTTCCCCTTTAAGAGGCAGTCAAGTGAGTGCAGCCCTGCAGTCCTCCTGCCACATCCCCACACCCTCCACTCAGTTCCCTGACTCTTCCGGACTCCAGCCCCCTTGCGGATGCATCACTGGACTGGATGCTGGGCCCATCCGCTTAGGGGTTCATGAATCACCACTCCTGACCCAGCCTGCTTAAAACTCCTTAAAGACAGGGCTGCCTGTCCAGATCTGCTGGTGCCACCAGACCCAGATCTCAGTACTTTGCCAAATATGTCACATTATAAACGGTAAGAGTCACCTGCACGGACTATGCCAGGTGTTTGTCTTGCTTTGCCCACCTCCTCACCATGATCCTTTTAATGATGCCACAAAATCACCCCCATTTTACCAGTGAGGTCAGAGACATTATTGATTGGTCCAAGGTCACACAGCTAATAAATGAAGCCATGGCTTGAACTCGGTTCCATCTTATTCCAAAGCTCTTTCCC